CTTCTGGGATGGTCTTTTCTATAAGGATTATTAATGAAACAAGACTTCTGTCAGATGAACCATTCTTCTGGGATGGTCTTTTCTATAAGGATTATTAATGAAACAAGACTCCTGTCAGATGAACCATTCTTCTGGAATGTCCCTTTCTATAAGGATTATCAATGAAATAAGACTTCCGTCAGATGAACCATTCTTCTGGGATGTCTCTTTCTATAAGGATTATTAATGAAACAAGACTCCTGTCAGATGAACCATTCTTCTGGGATGTCCCTTTCTATAAGGATTATTAATGAAACGGGATTGTTTGCTGGTGTTACTCAAGAGGACTGAAAGGGGGATATTCGTTTTCTTTTTTCAAAAATTATGATATAATAATTGACAATGTCAATACTTGACGAAAAATCAAACACTGTTTGAGCATATATTTCTACTGACTTTTAATTGGGGCAGCGACATTCTTAAATATTTTTTGATTGTTTTTATTAACTAGCTTCAAGACGTGCTAATCGAATGTCCTTACTACACTAGCACAGTTAACTTATTATTGTTGTAACGTATTCGTTCATTTTACCATTGTTCATTTTGTGATTGTTGTGAGCGACAATTTTAAATATTTTGTGATTGTTTTATTTCAATATTTTTCCTACAACTTAAAAACGTACTACAGAATATTATTTCTAATATTGTACAGTTCAGTTATTATTATTAGTACACTCCTTTTCGTTCATTTTACATCTTGTTTCAGTTCAACTGGATCTCCTCAGCCTTGAAACGTGTAAAATGTAATGAAATCTAATTTAGTTTTTATATTATTGGAATTGGATTTGAATTAATTGTAATATATATTTTTTAAATATTAGCATAAAATTGTTATTTTTTTATTAAAATAAGTAATTCTGTAATAAGAACATAAACAATAATTATGAACGAAGCAAGTGTATTACTGAAAACGCCGAGTAATTTCTCTATGGAGAATGACCTCATTGATATCATGGCAGACAGTAATTCTGATAATTTTTCTATTGCTGCATGCGAAAACCTGACCAACAACCTAACACAAACCAGTGTCCACCATGGTCATTCAGAGGAGGATGTTTTGCTAATGAGCGTAACTTCAGTCATTCTTGGACTTCTTATTCTCGCCACAGTTATCGGCAACGTGTTCGTCATCGCCGCCATCTTTATGGACCGAAATTTGCGGTGTGTTGGGAATTATTTAGTACTCTCGTTAGCAGTAGCTGACTTAATGGTGGCATGTCTTGTGATGCCCCTAGGAGCTGTTTACGAAGTAACTCAAGAATGGGTCCTAGGTGCTGCCCTCTGTGACGTGTGGACTGCGTTTGATGTTTTGTGTTGTACAGCTTCCATTCTACACCTTCTGGCTATTGCTGTTGACAGATACTGGGCTGTGACTCAAGTTGATTACGTAAGAAATCGTAGCGCGCGACACATCGGCACCATGATACTTACCGTATGGACTGTTGCATTTGTTGTCTCTTTAGCTCCTATCTTTGGTTGGAAAGATCCCAATTTTTTGAAGCGTGTAGAAGAGGAAAAGCGTTGCCTTGTCAGCCAAGACGTTGCTTATCAAGTATTTGCTACCTTTTCTTCTTTTTACGTCCCTCTAGTGTTGATCCTCATTCTTTATTTTCGCATTTTTCGAGAAGCTAGGAAACGAATTCGTCACAAACCGGGAAGTACGGTTCCGAAAGCTCGCAAGATAAGGTGTAAAAAGTCCTCCACCATGGCAGCACCTGTACCTTCTTGCAGTGAGATGACATCTTTCTCTAACTTGAATTCCCAGACGGTCAGCCCAGATATGACCAGCTCAACAAATGGTCTAGCAAGTCAAACTTCAGATCTAAGTCGGATGGAGATACTTCCTAAAAAGAAGAGACACACCAAGGAGTCCTTGGATGCCAAACGTGAACGAAAAGCGGCCAAGACTCTCGCCATCATCACTGGAGTTTTTGTAATTTGTTGGCTACCATTCTTTGTAATGGCACTGTTGATGCCTTTGTGCTTCGACTGTGAACCAAGTGCTGTACTATTCAGTTTCTTGCTTTGGTTGGGCTACGTTAATTCCATGCTCAATCCCATCATTTACACCATATTCAGTCCGGATTTTCGGTCGGCGTTCAAGAAAATGCTCTGTGGTGAAATGGAAAGACATCGACGAAAGAGGTAGCTGCTGTATGTAATGTTATTGGCAAAAAAAAACAAAAAACGGACAGTATGTTATTGGTCAATAACAATATAGCTATAATGTTATTGGTAAAAAAAAATAATCGACAGTATATTATTGGTCAATAACAATATAGCTACCGTACACAGAAGCGATGCTATTTGTCACAACAATAATTGTGATACAAAGATATAGTGTTATTGGATAAAATTGTGAATTAAGTCTTCAAACAGTTACCTACTACATTAACAGATGTCGTTGTCACTCCGAAATTATTGATGTTGTGTATTGGTAGCCCTTAATTTGTTTGAAATATCTATAAAAAAAAAACGATCATATGTAGTGTTTGGTGGGCAGAGCACAGATAGCCCATTGTGTAGCTTTGTGCTTAACTTCAAACGAACAATTAAACAAATATATGTGGCGTTATCGCTTATCTATCAATTTCAGAGTTGACGTCGAAATGAGGATCGATTTAAAACGGAGACTTGCCGATAGTTACCAAATAAATGAGGATATAGTCATGTAAACAGTCTTTTGAAGAGACTCAATTTATTCACTGAAAATGTAATGTTCGTTTTATCAGCTCTTTGCGTAACACAACCCAAGTAACACAGCTGATAAGACCTCCAGCTTTTCACCAGTTGCGTCAGATCTGTACAGGTCTGCTTATTTCGGGGCTCATTCGGCAAATCCGTACACAACTGACGATTTCATTGTCGTGCCTAAACAAGCTTAGACAAATGGATACAAAAAATCGACAACCTGCAATCACTGTACTGACAATAGGGTTAAAAGATGTGATAATTTTTCGTTGTTACATCTTATAAACCTTGTTGTATATCAGTATTAAGCTTTAATTTATTAAAATAAGTTTGTGACGACTTCACGTATTGGCTGTGCTTCAAGCAAAATTTCCCTTTACGCTATATTAATATGTTTTCATTATATATATTTTTTGGTTCTTGCCCTTAATGATTAAATATAACACTCGTGGTTAAATTAGTGAAGTAAAATACAACCTACAAGTGTCGCGTAACCTTCCAGAATTTTACATTCTTCAGGTATTTATCGACCAGTGTAGTGCTGAAAGATTGAATAAATATCAAAACATCAATAATGGAAAATGTCGATTTCCATACTTTTTAAACCAGGATATTTCTGATATTAAACTTAACATATTGTCTGTAAATAATCTGTTAATAAATGTGTAACGTAATTATTGTATATGTTTTAGAACGATTTTTAACATGGCGTATATAACAGTTTTAAGTATCTTTATGTTTATTCATTGTTGGTTATCAGAACGTTTAAGTAAATACTATAGTAAACTGATCAATAGTGTTTAATATTACTGTAAACATTGGAATATTTCTGAGTTAATTAAAAGTGTTAAATAAGTGCTTAATTAAGTCATTGAGTTTATTGTTACTGAAACATCGGTTCTTTTTTGAATTAATTAAGTGCTTAATTAAGTTGTTAAGTAAAATGGTTATTATTATTGTGAACGTCGGGATATCTCTGAGTTTATGAAAGTGTTCAATAAGTGCTTACAGAAATTATTGAATAAAATGCTTATTATTATTGGAAACATCGGGTCTTTCTGAGTTTATGAAAGTGTTCAATAAGTGCTTACAGAAATTATTGAATAAAATGGTTATTATTATTGTGAACGTCGGGATATCTCTGAGTTTATGAAAGTGTTCAATAAGTGCTTACAGAAATTATTGAATAAAATGGTTATTATTATTGTGAACGTCGGGATATCTCTGAGTTTAGTTAATAATGGTGATGGTCTAGGAAGTAGCAATTATGTTTAAAAAACTGGGAGAATATTTTCCACAGCATCACCACTGTTCTAGTTATATTTTCTTTTGCCCCTATCAACTATTATTATATTTAAAACAAATTCTCCTTTATAGTACGAAATACAGAAATTTAGCTTTTTGATCTCCAAATTGTAAATCAGTTGGTAATCAGATACAAAGCTGTATTTTTACCGCCCGGCATGGCCAGGTTGTTAGGACGCTCGATTCGCAATCTGTGGGAATCCCCCGCCACTCCAAACATGCTCGCCCCTTTCGGCAGTGGGGGCGTTATAATGTGAAGGTCAATCCCACTATTCGTTGGTAAAAGAGTAGCCCAAGAGTTGGCGGTGGGTGTTAATAACTAGCTGCCTTCCCTCTAGTCTTACACGGATAAATTAGAGGCAGCTAACGCAGATAGCCCTCGTGTAGCTTTACGCGAAAACAATAACAACCAAACTGTATTTTTACTGTGTCCATCGCACGGATCGAGACCTGAACTTTGACAAACTTACCGTTGAGTCGTTAGGTGATATTTATTTTTTTTACCACAGTGGAGTCGTGTAGTATAGCATTCTTTTAAATGTAGAAGTTATCAAAGAATATTATCTGAAAAACACAAAGCGTGTTCAAAATTAACAGTAATTCACGGGTCAATCCTATGAACAACGATTGTGAATTATAGAAAGCTTGATAATACAGGGGCCTGGCATGGCCTGGTGGTAGGGCTCTCCAATCGCAATCTATTGGTCGCAAGTTCGAATCTCTTTACCAAACATACTCGCCCTTTCAGCCGTGGGGGGCGTTACATTGTGACGGTCAATCCCATTTTTCGTCGGTAAGAGAGTAGCCCAAGAATTGGCGGTGAGTGGTGTTGACTAGTTGCCTTCCTTCTAGTCTATCATTTCTAAATTAGAAATGGCCAGCGCAGATGGCCTTGGAATAACTTTGTTCGATATTAAAAAAAGACAAAAAAACATGCTCATACGGAGATTTAGGCCTGAGATAAATCAAACTAGGACCCTTCTGTAGATTACTCTTAATACTATCTAAATATTATAAACTATCAAACAACACAATATTCACGATATGATAAACTATCAAACAACATAATATTCACGATATGATAAACTATCAAACAACACAATATTTACGATATGAGAAACTATCAAACAACACAATATTTACGATATGAGAAACTATCAAACAACACAATATTCACGATATGATAAACTATCAAACAACATAATATTCACGATATGATAAACTATCAAACAACACAATATTTACGATATGAGAAACTATCAAACAACACAATATTTACGATTCGAGGTTACTTTCAGTTTATTTTGCCCCCC